GACCCCCTCTCCCCCCGAGTGCACAAATTTTTGTGCACCGGGCCTCTAGTCTATATATATAAAAGCCTAAGCGACCGTTACGACAGGCCCGTAGCTATGACATGCACTGACCACCAGGGAGCAATGCATTGCACTCCCACAGCCAACCTCCTGCGGTCCCTCCCTGCAACTGGCCAGCCTGAGGGAACCCACCCATGTACGATTTCATGCACCGGGCCTCTGGTATAGTTGCATCTTTTTAGTCACATTGCTTAATAAGGATATATCTGATTGGTTAATTCTTGGTACCAGAAATCCTTATATACAAGTATAGGCACCTAATATTTTTTAAAAGTCACTTTGGAGCAAAAAATGTAGGTAATTGCTATAATTATTTTTTTTGTAGTTCAATCATAATTATACCTTTTTTTAGGTCAGACTGACAAAAAGAAAATATATTTTTTAGTGTGCTACAGAATTTTAGTAATTAGTTTATGTGTGCCATGAGATGAAAAAGGTTAAAAACTGCTAACATATAAGAGAGAAAACTTCTGTTGAAGCCCAACCTAGGGCATCATTTCCCTATAAATTGCTATTCTGTGGCAGCCACAATTCCTCCTGAAAGCTTACAAAACAGAAGATAAAGAGTTGTGAGCATTACTAACCTGTTTGCTTACTTTCTACATTCAGAGATTAATTAAATACACTTCTGACCAACATCTTGAGATTCAAAAATGCTGCCAGCATTATTAAAGCTGATATGAAGTAAACTAAGAAAAAAACCTACTTCCTAATAAAATCGGGGAGGAGAGAAATATGTGAGTGGGATATAATGATAATAATTAAACGTTATTAATGTTTTAAAATATTAAGTCAACTCAAATCTGTTTCTACACAATAGCAACTAAGAATATATTCAAAAAGATTTTCCAACTACAATGCAGAAGAAGTTGCGTAAATTATGCTATACAATGAACAAAATATATATTTGAAAGGGTACCTTTATTCTATCAGTGAACTGGTATTTTTTTATGATCATTTCCTGCAACTGGCAAAAGTCTCCATTCAATTCTACTCCATACAGCTGCAATGCTGAACTGTAAAGATAACCCTAAAATATGAGAATATATTAGGATACAAATGAATTAACTTTTTATTGTGGTTTACTTCTACTTGAAATTTAAAAAGTCAAACTTTAAAAAATAGAATTCAATAAAGTAAGGATAAATAACATCTTGTAGTTTATGTAAAACTTACAACTTTAAGAACTTAAAGACTTACTTATCAAGAACTTGATTGTAGTTCTTTTCCATTATTTAATAATTTCCATTACTTAAAAGTAATTATATTTTAAAAGATTGATTTCTTACTTTTTCTGATAAAACGGTGCACTCAACAAAAGTGAAAATGAGAAAAGTGATCATATATAGATTCTCCATTTACCACCCTATTTCTGTAATTTCTTTGGAAGTTGCTTCAGGGAAAAGCAAGAAAGGAATAAACCTGTGGGGACCATAATTGGAAAATCATGCAGCCTGGCAACACAGGGAGGTTGCTGGAGGTATGTTCTGTTTGGCTTATGGAAGTCAGCCTGGCAATCTGCCAAAATAATGACCAATTAGTTTTCAAGGATAATCAGGAATTGACTGTATATTGCTATGTACCTATTTTGGTTTCAATAGCAAAACAATATCTGGAAGAAATGGTCAAATCATATTCTGAATACCATTTTACATCAACTAACACCTAGGTGTAAACCAAATTTATATTTACAGCTCATCATGGATTTTAGAATATGTCCAACAGAGCATATGTAGGCATTCAAAAAAATCTTTGTTGACTGAATTAGTGACCTAATAAGAACAATGACAATATGTTTAAATTATTTAATACTGCCACACACCTGCATAGCCAATTATTTCAGCTATATACTTTTTTAACAAATAAAAAAACAAAACAAATGGACAACAGTGGACAAAATGTGGTAAACAATCATAATCTCTAATGTTCTCCAAAGAAAACTACCTGACAATTGTGTACTTTTCCATTACGGCTATCTTTTCTAATCACAGAATAAAAGTTTTAGTACTGAACAATAAATGAAGCATCAAAGAGTTAACTGTTCCTGTTTAGGGCCGGCAACGATGCTGGGAACTGATAGTGCCTGTTTCTGGCATGAGCCTCTCCTGCTGTTGGCCACATGTTTTAACAAGTCTGGTAATGACAACCAGAAACCACATTTCAGTTTTTTGATTAAACCATTTAAGAACATTAAGGGTACTCGTGATTTAAATTTTTTAAAAGTCATATTGATGTGATATTTCAGAAACAAATGTCTACATTCAAACTTTGGATGACAGAAAATTGGAGCAAGGTGCGTCCTTGGATATAATTTTGTTTGCTCACTTACAGGGGAGGAACTTGAAGCCCAGAGGTGTTAGGTAACTTGCTTATGGCCATGGGCAATTTCCTAGGTCAAGTAAACTTGTCAGTTTTATAAGAGCGCTTACCAATGCTAGTATACAATTTTAGCACAGTACAAGGAAAACAGGGTTAAAGGGCAGTGGTGACTACAAAGCAGCAAAGTGTTTGAGGGTTACCTGCTTCTGTTCTGTTGATATTTCTTCCTCTGAGTCACAGAGACAAACTAATAAAGGAAATCAGAGAGCTGGCCTTTGAAATTCCAAACTCAATATACTACTTTAATTTTATTATTGTTACTCTAATAAATAAAACCAAGCTGTCACCTTGGACGGTGGCAGGCAAAACTGCTGTTAGCAGGAGAAGAAAGTATTTTCCAAATGTTGAGTATGTCCATAAGCTGGACTTTACCCCATAAAGAACTGTGCCAAGCCTGGAGCCGACATCAACCAAGAGCTTTCCCGACAGATCAGGGAGTACGTGATGGTAAATGAACTTCAATTCCATGAGAGAGAAGGAATGAGAAATAAATCCTGCAGAATTAGAACAAAATGAACAAATTCTGTGTGGGTACTAACAATTCAATTTTGTATTTCTAAATCTTCACCTATATTTATAAAGAACTAGAGGCCCAGTGCACGCCAGCTGGGGCTGACCTTCCCATAGTTGGCCAGCCGGCCCTGCCCCCTGGTCGAACCCCCCGTCAAACTCCCAGTCAAGGGGATAATTTGCATATTGGGCTTTTATTATATAGGACTGTATTTCTAAATCTTCACCTATATTTATAAAAACTAGAGGCCCAGTGCACGCCAGCCGGGGCCTACCTTCCCATAGTTGGCCAGCTGACCCCGCCCCCTGGTCAAACCTCTGGTCGAACTCCCAGTCAAGGGGATAATTTGCATATTGAGCTTTTATTATATAGGATATTTCATGTTTTTATTTTTTTTATTCAATGAAAGGCAGTCAGAGGTTATTTAGAAAAAATTAATGTGATAATTTTTCACTCATTCACTCTGAGTTGTATTGGAGAAGAATAAACATAAAGTCTCTGACATTTTATTTAATTTAATTTATTTATTTATTTAAAACATATTTTATTGATTTTTTTAGAGAGGAAGGGAGAGGGATAGAGAGTTAGAAACTTCGATGAGAGAGAAACATCAATCAGCTGCCTCCATGTGCCCTCAACCAAGGGTATATGCCCTGACCGGAATCGAACCTGGGACCCTTGAGTCCACAGGCTGATGCTCTAGCCACTGAGTCAAACCGGCCAGGGCAGTCTCTGACATTTTAAAAGGCCTCTAAGGGAACAGCTACTCAGCTGCCTGTCCCTATCCTATGCCCCTCATTTCCTTTTCCCCCTATGACCTGCTGTTTGTTGGGACTGCTTCCTAACTCCCATTCCATCTGGCTTTCTCACCTTACCCCAGAGCCAATCACAGAACTGCCACACACTGCTGCACAGACTGTGGACGACCAAATGAATGGCCACTCAGGAGGTGCGCAATGTGGCAGCCCTGGAGTGCAGAAGAAGGGCAATATGGAAGGTTAAGATACTCCCAACACTGTTCTGACTTCCCTTCGTTTAATTGCTGTAACTTCTAGCCTCCTACCCCATTTTCTCACTCCTTTATTTCTATAATGAAATATCTGAGAGAACCTGAGTATGTTTTTCCTTCCTTCCCCTCCCCTCCCCTCCCCTCCCTCTTTCTTTTCCCTTCCTTCCTTCCTTCCTTCCTTCCTTCCTTCCTTCCTTCCTTCCTTCCTTCCTTCCTTCCTTCCTTCCTTCCTTCCTTTTCTTTCTCCCATGTTAAATCCTTTTTATAACAAGGCACCAAAATATATCAAGGCCGTATTTTCAACATCTATCCAAAATTACTGACTAGGTCCTGGCCGTTGCCTTCCTGGAGTTTACCACTGTGAGGGGGGAAATGCCATTAATCGCACTCCTTCCTTTTCTTTCTCTCTCTCTCTCTCTCTTCCTCTCTCTCTCTCTCTCTCTCTCTCTCTCTCTCTCTCTCTTTCTTTCTGAAACTGAGGTAACTCAAAAACTTACTATGTTATGGTTTATGTAACATAATGGTCCGGAAGGAAAGAAACTTTGGTCATAACTAAAAGACTGCGGCAAAGAAAATGGAAGCACACAGGCTACTCAGCTGGATGAAAATAAAGGGTATGACTGGACCTCAGAAGTAACGGGGGGCCTTTGACCACCATAGTCCTTATCTCCCTAGGATCTTCACCTTTACTACCATCTGTGCCACATTAGTGCTTCTGCCCTGGGCTACAGAGTCATCATTAGCAGCTAGATAAGCGCCCTGTCAAAAAGGGAAGGAGAGTCCCACATCCTGATAACTTTTTCAGATTCATTATGGTTATCTGGGTGGGTGTGGATACCCAGTCACTATTTACAACTTGATTTTTGTGGGAAAATGAATTCTATTCTTCAAATTTTTATTTGTTGAACATAGCTCTTCTACACATTTTGATAAATCAGGTCTTATATGCTGTTATAGTTATAATTCACTTTTTAGTTTTCCCTCTATTGTTCTTAAGTCCTTCTCTATTTGAGTTTCCACTACCTCCAATGGAAACCAATGGACTTTACCCCATAAAGGACTACCTAAAAAATAACCTTAGCTCTGGCTGGTTTGGCTCAGTGGGTAGAGCGTTGGCCTGTGGACTAAAGGGTCCCAGGTTTGATTCCGGTCAAGGGCACATGCCTGGGTTGTGGGCTCGATCCCCAGTGGGGAGCATGCAAGAGGCAGCCAATCAATGATTATCTCTCATCATTGATGTTTCTCTCTCTCTATCCCTCTCCCTTCCTCTCTGAAATCTATCTATCTATCTATATATAAATTTAAATATATAAACCTTAAATCAGTAAATCAGGGACGTTTAATCCCAATTATAATACAGGTACAATATATTTTTATTAGCAACATATTACCAATTTGGTAACAGTAAACTTTTGAGAATGATATTATCTAGGGTCAGTAATATGAGAACAAGGAAACACACCTGGAGAATAACGCACTCTAAGCAATAAACCTAAGGTAGTGGGGAGATTGAAATAGCATGTCTAAAGTAACAGCCTAAACAATCATATCCAGTTTGAACAAAGAATATATTAACAGAAGAGCTACACTGTAGCAGCGTGGAGTCAGTCTAGTTTGCTATTTGGGACACAGGTACTGCATCTGAGGGGCAGAGATGCAAGAAAATTTTTGTCACTGGAGTTGGTTTCCTGTTATGGACTAGAGATGCTCTACTAGGTCAAATCATGGCCTGAATAAACTCTCAAGATTATCCATCATTGTCCTCTGAGTCCATGTTCATCCAAAAATATTGTTCGTCCAACAATACTTCTCAAGTAGATGTTTTCATAGGGAGAACATTCGGTCCCCTTGACTATATTAAACTAATATAACTATATTTCTCTTGTAAATAAATCAGCATATGCTTTATATATGAATTTCTGTTGAGTATGGAAAGGATGAGTCAGTTTCCTTGTACTTAGTCACTTCTGATTAGTTTCTGGACCTGCAAAGTCACTGGTGATTAAACAGTTTCTGTGAGCCCTAACTGGTTTGGCTCAGTGGATAGAGCGTCAGCCTGCGGACTCAAGGGTCCCAGGTTCAATTCCGGTCAAGGGCATGTACCTTGGTTGCGGGCACATCCCCAGTGGGGAGTGTGCAGGAGGCAGCTGATTGATGTTTCTCTCTCATCGATGTTTCTAACTCTATCCCTCTCCCTTCCTCTCTGTAAAAAAATCGATAAAATATATATTTTTAAAAACAAAAAAAAAACCCCAAAAAACAATCAGTTACTGTGAAAAGTAGAGATACCCTTCTGGGAGACATTAAATGCCCTGACTTTCTAGACAATATTTCCATTTAGTCTCCCTAACTGCAATAATTGGTAATGGCTATGCTGTAGGTTGGCCTTTGCTTTCAGAAAACATTGAAAGACCGTCAGTAATTTGCATACTCAAGACATCTAAGGAAAAGTACACACAAAGTCATCAGGTTTGCATACTTGAGTGCTGACCTAAAGGTGCTGTCTGGTATGAGCCACACACCACACAATAGTTTCTGCTCATTTTTCCTTCCTCACATAATGAATCAATAGAATCTTCATCATAAAGGAATGCATCCACATGAACTGTGGGTTCTGGCCGCTGCTGGATCTGGTGGAGAGAAGAAACACATCAAAAGGAACAAAGTACAAAGAAGTCTCTTTTTATTGCTAAACTAGAGGCCCAGTGCACGAAATTCATGCACGGATATGAATCCCTGGTATGGCCTGGCCAGCGATCAGGGCTGATTGGGGCCTTCTTTCCCCGGCTGCCGGCCAGGGCCTTCCTTCATTTCACGCTGCCCTCTGGTGGTCAGCACACGTCATAGCGAGTGATCGAACTCCCAGTCTCCCAGTCTAACTCCCAAGGGGACACTTTGCATATTAGCCATTTATATATATAGACTAGGGGTCCAGTGCACGAATTCGTGCAACTTGAAAGGAACTGTGGGCTGCGAGGCTGCAGTGGGCACAGGGCTGGGTCTCGGTCCATCCTCCGTGCCCCTGCCTGGCCCCTCCCACTGTGGCCCCCTGGTCCCCTGTCTGCCGGCAGCTCTGCTCCTGCCGCCCCCACTCCCACACGCTGACTCGCTGGCCCTGTTCGCACCCACTGAAGGCGCCAAGCAATTGGAGGCGATGCCAGCAGCGGGTGCAAGCAGGGCCGGCACCGCCAGCAGGTGCAAGTGGTAGCTGCTGCCCCGACCGCCCTTCAGGAGCAGGGGGAGGTGGAGAAATCCTTAGGGGCGATCAGAGCCGGCATCCGCCACTCGCACCCGCTGATGGGGCCAAGCAATTGGGACCAGCGCTGGGCACTGGCAGCGGGTGCGAGAGGCAGCTGCCAGCCCCAATCTCCCCTTAGGAGCAGGGGAAGGTGGAGAAGCCCGGAGGGGTGATCCGGGCTGGCAGCCGCTGCTCACACCCACTGATGGTGCCAAGCGATCGGGGCCGGTGCCGGGCACTGGCAGTGGGTGCGAGCAGCAGCTCTGGCGCCAGTAGCAGGTGCAAGCAGGGCTGGTGCCAGCAGCCGGTGCGAGTGCCGGGTGGGACCCCAGTGCACAGGAGCAAAGAATTTTCAGTAACCACCAGAGACTTGCCCCGATGACAGCGACTGGCACCCCACCTTGGTCTGGCACCCACGCTCAACTGCTCCACCATCCCACCATGGCCGACACCCGCCATATTCTGCACATGCCTCCTGGTGATCAGTGCACGTCATAGCGACCGGTTGTTCGGTTGTTCTGCTGTTTGGTCTATTTGCATATTAGCCTTTTATTATATAGGATAAGGCAAAACATCAGTGGTTCATATGCTAAAATTCTGCCAGCAACAAGGCACAGAAAGACTAGTTTCACTTACATCAGCAACTCTGCCCTTCTTTCATTTTATTTCTGAGATTTTGGGGGGTGTGAGGGTACCAATTTACTTTATTTGAAGGAAGGATACAAATGAAAGAACATAAGAAAAAGATAAAGGTAACACTAACATGCATGTATTGCTTTGGTGACCAGGGAAGTGACCCCTGTGGCTATGGGAAGCCAGTCTAAGGCTGAGCCCTCATCACTGTCTCCCAGAGTGTGCTTGTCAAAGAGACACTCTGCCATCCAGATTAGAAGTGCCCATCTCGCATGGTCACCCAATTCTTTAATGGATTTCACCTGCTCATTCAGGTAATGAGTCTCAATGAAGTTACACAAATGGGAGTCACTTTGTTAGTGGACAACTTTTTATTTGGCCTGTAATTATGCAAAACATTGCAATGAGAAATATATACAATTTTAGTTGAAAGAAGTATTTTGAGACCATCTTGTCCATCCAAAGCAGTATATTTTACAAGTACAGAAACTGATACCCAGAGAGATTTCTCCAAAGAAATGACAGTAGCTAGTAAGAGGGGTCAAAATGGAAACTAATACCAGCTCTTCTGAGTCCTCCATGTCAGTGACTTACTCATCAAAATACTTAGCAAGAAATCTTTGCTTAGAGGAAAAGTTTTCAAATAATAATGTTAGTAAACCTTCATGCTTACAAATTATGGCTCTTTATTAATACTAGTGGTAACAGCAAGTGGCTACAAAGAAAAAATTTTTGTCTGATTCCTTCTACCTCGATTATGGTAAAGTATCAACCTATCTGCTTGGGAACTTACAAAATTATATCTATATCTACACACACACACACACAATCTATATTACAAGTACGTAAAATGTATGAACAAACACAAGGACCAGAAGGAAAGAAAAGAAAATAAAGTGTGCCGAGACCGGTTTGGCTCAGCGGATAGAGCGTTGGCCTGCGGACTGAAGGGTCCCAGGTTCGATTCCGGTCAAGGGCATGTACCTGGGTTGCGGGCACATCCCCAGTAGGAGATGTGCAGGAGGCAGCTGATCGATGTTTCTCTCTCATCGATGTTTCTAACTCTCTATCTCTCTCCCTTCCTCTCTGTAAAAAATCAATAAAA